CTGAAGAGAGCCCTTACGAAGCTCTGACAGAAAGCTGGGCTATTGGCCATGCCTTGGGGCAAGACTGTCCATTCGTACCTTTCATCAGGCGTGCTAAAGTTGATGGAAGGCACAGAGAAGGTGAACTTCTCACAATCTTGGGGTTGTAGGGGTATAGAGAAAAAGAAGTTTTTGTAGCGTCATTCTGGCCTTGACCTTACGGAGGTCCTGTAGCATCCTCCATTGGCCAGATGACTTTTTTTATGACAAAAAAGGGGTGTTCCAAGAGCTCATGGAGGGGCGGGGATGCCCCAGCCTACGGAAGTCCTTTAGCATTCTCCATTGGCCAGATGACATTTTTATGACAAAAACAGGGGTGTTCCAAGGGCTCATGGAGGGGCGGATATGCCCCAGCATAAGTTGTTCCTGTATAATATGCCTCAAAGCCTGGAGCTTTGTCTCAGGCAAGGGCCACTGTTCCACCCAAACCAGGCTCCCTGGGGGCTACAGGGAGACCCTGTTTCAAAAAGACAAAAAAAAAGTTTATCTTTATTTTTATTTATGCATAATCATCTAGGATGGTTTGTGAAGTAGGGGCCATTAGAAAGCACCAAATCCACCAGGAAGGGCCTCTGCATGGCCATAGGATGTTGCTGCTTCAGCTGGGCCTCCTAAGGGTCATTGATATAGGATGAAGGCAGCATCATGTCCTGTGGACACGGTCTTTGATACTTCCTCCCCTCCACACCAAGGCAACACAAAGAGTGCAAAAAGACACGATTTGAAACACATTCACTGGCCACTGGGAGGGGAAGAGGGATGGATGACAGGAAGCCCTGATTGCTTGGGTCACCGTTTTTTTTCTTTTGAGACCTGTAATTGTGCTCTTCAGCCTTTTTTTCTGGAGCCTTTGACCAAAAGACTAATGAAGGCCTGTCTTGGGGAAGGGGGGTCCCTCCCTTGTCCAGTTCTCAGTTCATGAAGTTCATGATATTTGAAACACATTCACTGGCCACTGGGAGGGGAAGAGGGATGGATGGCAGGAAGCCCTGATTGCTCGGGTCACCATTTTTTTCTTTTGAGACCTGTAATTGTGCTCTTCAGCCTTTTTTCTGGAGCCTTTGACCAAAAGACTAATGAAGGCCTGTCTTGGGGAAGGGGGGTCCCTCCCTTGTCCAGTTCTCAGTTCATGAAGTTCATGAATGTGGAACTCTTCCCTGAAACAGAGAAGTTGATGAAGACGGACCGTGTATCCATCAGAGACAATCAGACAGACTTCATATTCACAGTAACCATGGAGGATCTCAGGAGAAGTGATGCTGACATTTACTGGTGTGCGATTGAGAGAAGTGGCATTGACCACAGGTCTAAAGTTAACGTGATCATTGACCCAGGTAAGAGTGTGTGTACGTGTGTCTGTGTCTTCAGCGCCTGCTCTGTTCTGGTCCCTCAGGTCCCACCCAAATGAATTAACTGTCACTCAAGTGACCTTATCAAAAGATGGTCAAGTTTGAGGACACATAGACCTCAAACTGATTGACTGCTTGGGATTGGGAGGGCCAGGGCTCTCCTTAAATGCCTCCTGACTTCCAGAGCCTCCTCTGGCATGGGATGATGGGATGGTATCTTTCTACACATTCCCTGGCACTTTTCTTTGCACATCACCATCCTGAGTCTATTGTCAATAGAAGATACGGTGATGGCCCCCCAGTTCCAACTCATGGACCACCTTTCCTGGTTCCTAGCGCCCCCAGTCCCTGCCAATGCTTTCTTGGGGTCTCATGAAAAGAGTGCCTTGCTCTTTGGCAAGCTCTGGGTGGGGCCTTTATGGCTGCTGTTCCCATCTCTACTATATATCCAACCCAAGGGAAAGAATACCGACATCATTGGGGTGCTGTGTTCTAATTCCCAAGGTCTAGAAAGACCTTTACAAATAGCTGC